GACGTCTACATTTTAAGACGTTTTCTAACCGTAAAATCTGTGGTGTTGTTGTTTCCCATACAAAATTGGAAACGACGCCGTCTACATTTTGTCACACTCAAAGGTATGTTTTTTACGCGTCTACATTTTGCAACCTCGCAGCAGGGTTGCATTATGGCAATACTAATCACATTTTTTTTATTTATTGGGCACGTTTTTTGTATTTGCATTTAATTTGAATGCAATTTCTGATGAAAAGAAACAAATCAAGGAAAAGAAATAACAAATATTAGGAATTGGTAATTAAGTTAAATAATTACAATTTTTCAGAAACAAAATCGAAAGGCGATATATAAAAAATGCACGCAAAGAGAAAATGTCTGGCAACACCAGCAAAGTTTTGATACGATTTTGCGACGACTGCTAGAAAGGGGTGCTCACAGTTTGATGCTAAAGATGTCTCAAAATGTAGACGTCTACATTTTCAGACATATTTGGAACGAACTGTGAACACCCCAAATGTAAACATCGATATTTTTCGACGAAACATCGATGTGTTGAAAATTTGCTGCGTCGTTTGCATTCCTAATTGGGGGTGGCAAATTAAATACGTTTGTTTTCTGTTGAAAATTTGCTGCATTTGCAAGAGTTATGAGTATTTTGTGCCGCCCAAAGTTACAATGGATAGGAATATAAAGAAATTTGTATATAAATATCAAAATCACGAAGGCAAGGCCTGTGAAGAAAGCATTGATATTGGGTTTCCTTTCGAATCTGATGAGGAATGCCTTGATGAGTTAGTTACAAGATTACTAAATAGCATGGATCCTATGCAGCGGTATTTGGATCGGAATATATGTACGAATTAAAATATTGCTTATGTATACATATACATATATGTATTTATTTATTTCGTTACACAATTTACAAACCATGGTTTTTATTTCGTAATATTACTTAGCACTTAAATCGGATTTACGTGAGTTCATACAAGAAGAAAACCAAAACTTTCTGGATCAATTTGCGGAGGGACTACTGGAACAGGTTCGCAATGATGAACTCGATCTAGAAGCTGTCATTCGGAAAACTGAGCGCAGCTATAAAGAGGAGATAATACAATTTGCCGATCGCATTGGGCCCAGTGATGAGGACATATTTGCGCAGAGTTTCCATCGGTAGGATTATTAATATGCATAGAGTTTCAAATACTTCGTCCTATAATAGACTTTCAAAATCATACATAGATTGGTACATTCGTCTTCATTAGAGGATATATTAAAACGCGAAAGAACATACGCAAAAGTTATTTCAGATATAAATAAGCAAATGGATAGGGAAGTAGAGACTTTAAATTCTAGGCAGCAACAAGAAATGGACTCGAAAATTAAGCAATTGGATATCACAACTACTTCGGAAGTAAACAGTAAAATAAATCCTATCGTGTGTATATGTATAATAGTTTATGGTTTTAGGATATCAATAACCTCTTAGCACAACAATATAGTACTCAAAATTATATACGACAACGTTCCGAGTCGGAGTTGCAGGCCAAGCGTGGACATCAACGCAACGAATACCGTGATTGGATTACCAGTCAAGTAGGTAAAATATTTGAAACCTCTCCGATTGCTACACCCCTCGGAAATCGTTCATCTATGTTTATATCACAACAACCATCGATGGAGGAAAGTTTTACAATACACTTGGGCTCACAGCTTAAACATATGCACAATATACGAATACTCAGTGCGGATGTCACGGATCTTTGCAGTCCACTGCACGTGGATGAGAGGTACAGAAAATTCTAGCAATAAGATTAGTTGCAGGTATATTAAAACTAAAAATTCCAGTTTAAATGGATTAAATATGGCATTGGGTCTATATTCAAGTTCTCTGTGTGGTGTAGTCGTTCTTACTCCGTCTATTCAAGCTCGACCTAATAAAAATATCATAAAAAATGCCAACATGTCAACCGAATTTCACTTCGACCAGGTATTATTAAGCGCTAAGGCAAATCTCATTTAAGTAATCTTGTTGTAAATCTTTACAGATAGATGATCAACTAGAGAAGATAGAAAAACACATACATACACTTAACGTTACCGATTCCAAAACGCCCAGCATGCACAGCAGTAGTAGTGCAGGCAATGGAAGTGATAATTTATCACCTAATAACGGTGGTGGCAACAGTAGTGCTGGTAGCGCTGGCAGCTCCCCTACTAAAATTGCCTCTACCAAACTAAAGACTGGCGACTTTTTTATTACTAAACACTCGAATCTTTCACAATCTCATGTTATTTTTCATTTAATTTCGGATGAGCCCATTAATAGTCCAAGTGAGATAAACTCTCGCCATCCGGTAATACTAGGATTGCGTAACATTTTAAAGACAGCCAGCCGACATGATGTTACTACACTTACAATACCAGCATACATTTTCAGACACTATTTGGAACGAACTGTGAACACCCCAATTGATGTTTTGCTGGACAATACATCGTCGGTACATCCACTAGAAAAGTGAAAAACATCGCCATCGTGCACTCACTCTGTTCGTATTCAGCGTTGCCACTTTGACTTTTTTACCAAATTTTTTTTTTTTTAGAACGAGTTTGGTAATTTGATAATTTTTTTTTCAATTTGGTAATTTTTTTCAACATGTCTTTTTTTTTAAGTTTTTAATACTAACTTAATTATTGATAAAAATTTATGGGTTGGCTTTCCTAAACGGAACCAATCGAGATTTCAGCGAAAGTATGTGGAATTTTGTCATGAAACTTTGTCAGGATGTTGGGGGAGGCTTTCTTTACATGAATATGTCACTCTCACAAAGTAGTTGCTAATAGTATTTAACCAATTTGTTGTTAAATAATCTTCACTACCACCGCCGAATTTTTGTACAAAATGCCACTTATCAATTGTATTTTGGTTGATATACAATATCTTCAATGTTCACGTGCGTATTTTATACTTTTAATATATATATATTCATCAGTTAATTAAGTAAAACGCGTATATAAATCCGTTCCCTCGTTTTACCACTTTTCACAAACAAACAGAAATAACAATGGCCGACAGTAATAGCATGTTCTGACCGACATCGAAAACATGTTTTCGTTGCTAAAACTGGTTTTGACTTAAAACTTGTGTTTTCGTCNACTTAAAACTTGTGTTTTCGTCAATGTAAAATCTGTCAAACAAAAACCAGTTTTCGCTGAAAACTACTTGAAAACTCACATTCCACTCATCCCAATTGGTGTCTTCACTAGTTTTTTTCGATTATTTATCGAAGTGGAAGTTGTATTTTCTCATCTTTAATACGCTATTTCGTATTTATTGTTAATTGGAAGGCCAAACTAAAATAAGAATGAAAGTAAGAGGTTGCTAATGACAAGAAAATTTGCGGAAAGTATTTTGGTTTTGTTTTTGTGTAGCAAAACTGCAATCAGCTGATAAAAAAATGTCAACGTAAACACTAACAACCGGTGTGAACAGCCTTCAGCCCACAATTCCAAAACTCGTTTTCAAAGTGTTTTCGTTGTCGGTCAGAACATGGTATAACAATATATCTTTTTCGCACTATTTAAAAAAAAAAGAGTTTTGTTATGTAAATTTATTTATTTTGTTTAAAATAAAGTGAAAAACAGATTTTAATAATAAATGTTTCAAAACTAGATTTTATTTTATTTCTTCATCTCTGCACATCGATATTATTCAAAGGATCTTTTAAACGCTTGAGAAAAACGTTCAAATTTGATNTATCTTTTTCGCACTATTTAAAAAAAAAAGAGTTTTGTTATGTAAATTTATTTATTTTGTTTGAAATAAAATGAAAAACAGATGTTTCAAAACTAGATTTTATTTTATTTCTTCATCTCTGCACATCGAT